TAAAAGCGCAAATACTTGTTTGTTTTTCGGCATTGTTGTTGTTGCTTTATTTTTCTGTTCGGCTGTCGGGCGCATTTTGTTCGGGCGTAAATTCCCAACAAAATATTTTTACATATTTTTTTACTCGCGGCTGCTGAGCTTCCAAAAACATGTCTTTGATCTCAAACGAAAGAAAACAAAACAAAAAACAAAAAGAAGAAGAAGAGAATGAATTTACATACAACGTCAAGTGCGATTAAAAAGAAATCACTAAAATTAAGCAAATACGTGAATAATGTAAGTGCAAAATAAACCTCAGAGTTTGCTGCGTTTGCCGCTGGAATTATTTGCGGAATTCATTATCGTGAATCGTGAGCAGTCCGAGTGCCAATAAAGCCATCACAGCAGGAGCCGTTCGCTTGAGGTTTTTCCAAAATACAAACAGTGGGAGTGAGAGAGAGAGAGAGAGAGAGAGAGAGAGAGAGAGAGAGAGAGATGGAGAGACAGGGCAGCCCACACACACGCAACGCACATTAATTAATGGAAAGCGGCTTTGATTGACAGTCAAGTGAAGGTAATTTATTTATTTATATTTATTTATTGTCACATTTTACACGGAAGGCAAGACTGCCGAATGTGTTTACAAACACTTAATCATTTTTGTTAGAGCTTCTTTAAGTAGTCTGGCCAGATATTATAAATCAATAAATTTATTAACGCATTTTAGTTGATAGAAATTCTTTGTTGTTCGTCAGCCTCAAAATCAATTTATCTTTATAAATTATTTTAATCTCTGTTTTGAATTAATTTATTTTTTTTTGTCCCTCTAAATCCATCTATCTTTATAAAATATTTTATGTTTATGTTATTTTCGCATTTCTAATAGTTTTTTTTTTTTTTTTTTCAGTTTCAGTTCAGAATAAGTTTTTAAACTCTAAATGCTTTTGCATTCTTTCGTAGTTTTTCTAAAGTGTATTTCTTTGATTTATTTTTCTAAAATAAATAGCTTTGTGAAAGTTCTCTCTATCAGCCAGTCGAACTCCAATTCCTATCATTTAATTGAAATCAGTTTTCTTATCATTAAACACAATTTTATGGTGGCCAACAATTTGTGAGCCTGAGCTAGTTCTTTTATTTTTTTGACTATACGTATTTCTATATACATATATACCTTACCTTACATATATATATAAGTATATGCAAGCGACAATTAGTCTAAAGGCAATGCACAGCAGGCAAACAAATTCGTAATTAAATATCAATATTAAAATGTCACATTATAAAACCTTTTGATCGATATGCCAATTTTCAATCATGCATGCGTGTATGTATATGTGTGTGTGTCTGTATGTATGTATGTATGCATGTGTGTGTAAATCAAGTGCTTAAACTGCATTAAAGTTCAGTGGTACAAAGCGTGTGTAATTAATAATTTCATTTATTAACATTTAATTTGTGCGTATTAATTAGCCAATAAACTCATTGAAGACAGTTGAACAAAGGTGTTGTTGTTGTTGCTGCTTGTAAAACACAATCGAATTCAAATGAATCAGACGCACTCACAAATGTGTGCCACAATAAGCTGCACAGTCGCAAATGCCTTGATTTGTTGTTGTTTGTTGCTGTTGTTGTTGTGAGCTTGACATGCAACATGATGCATGACGCGACTTGTCGCTGGAATCATCCGTTCGTCCATTCAGCTGCTGCCTGACCTGCCCTGACGTTTGCTGCGTGTGTCAGTCACACCAATTGTCAGTCAAAGGCAGCAGCAGCAGCAGCAGCAGCAGCTGAAGCAGCAGAAGCTGAAGCTGAAGTGGTCGTCGCACAGTTTGAAATCGGAGCTTGCGAACCGGATTTACCCAAAACAAACAACAAAATGATTAAGAATATTTGAATGGCATGCTAACGACTGCAGAATACACTGTATGTAGATTGAAGTAGTGACGTAGACTGAAAAATGTATATAAATAAATAAGTAAAGAAAAATAAATAAAAATTGTTAGTCTGAAAAATTTTTCATTTAGGAGTAATCTGTCAATTTGTTTTATATGAACAATATTTTATATGTATTATTATAGACTCGAGAATTATAATATAAATACATATTTTATAAATTTTACTCTAATTTTGCAGTTTGGCTAATTGAACTCTAGACAGCATCTAGTCCATATTTCAAGAAGTGCTCTTATCTAAATATATATAAGTTTATATATATCTGATTATATATAATATGTGTCTGTATGTAAATACATATATGTATATATGTATATAGTTAAATATATATTTTTATATAGTTAAATGTAGCTCCTTATCATTTGATTTGAATTTCATTTATCTATACAAAAACTTCGCATTGTAATTCCATTTCATATTATGATATATTTCATATATACTTATGTACATATATTTAAAGCATATTAACATATCGTGCACTAAGCTAATATACCCCTTCTGCGCAGTGTAGCAGAAGAAAACAAAAACAAGAGAAGCGGCAGTGAAATGTTTTTTCACTCCACTTGAACTTGATGCGCGCCTTAAATATAAAAACACCCAGCTTCAGAACATTAGACGTGTTTAAGAGCTCGATTAAAACGTAGCGCGCATCGAACTGACTTGAATTGAATAAAAAAGAAATTTCAGTTTGTTTATAAATAAAAAATAAAACATAATTAGAAAGTCGATTTCATTCACATCAGTTTCAACAGAAATGGGCTTTCGGAATATGGTAAGCATTCGCAGTACCTCAACTATATGCGATCTATATTGATATATGAATCTTGTTCAACCTCAGTTGCTCAGCTGCAGTCTGATTGTGATGCTGGCCACTAGTCAAGCTCGGCCACGCTACAGTAAAACCTCATACAGAAAGAACTTTGACCTCAGCACCGCCGGCAGCGAAACCCTCCTGGCCTACGCCGCCAAGCCCCAGCCGCCCATGGCTCTGACGGGCAACTACAATTTGATAATGCCCGATTACTACGATCATCATCCAGCAGAGTCGATGCAGCTGCAGAACTTTGCGGCATTCTACGACGTCGAGATGAGTCCGGGCGCCGACCTGGGCATGGATGAGTCACAGTTCCTGGCCCGCAGCACGCCCGTACGTCCGCCAAAGCCCATCAATGCCGAAGAGCAGCGCATACGCCAGCATCTGCAGCCGTTCGACGCAACCCGGGAGAAGAAGGCCCTGCAGAAGCTGAAGAAGGGCAACACCAAGCCGAAGGGCGAAGGCTATGCCGAGTGGGATCAGTTCGATTACGATCTCTATAGCGTCAATCCGGGCGATAGCAAGAAGTACTATAACGACTACTGAATGTTTGTCCAACTTTCTAGTTATTCCCGTATTTGTTTTTGTTTATTGTTTATTTCTGTTTAAGCACTGAATAAATTATTTATTTATTTGTATAATGCATTTCGAAAAATGTCACTGGAATGCGGTTTTGTATTTTTGGAAAGCTTTTGCGACTGTCGCAATAACTTTGCCTAATACCTGCCTTTCCTCTATTATTTTTATTTTTATTTTTATTTTGTTGTTGTCAAATTTGTCTGGCGAAAATAATTATTAGTTGCCTAATTTGTTTAATTGCGCATGTCATTAGCATTTGGCGCGTCGCGTTTGAATTTAATTATGGGGAAGATTTTTCTACTCTCTTCTTTTGCAGTTTTCTGCCAAGTCGTTGTGATCTCTTGTACAGCATTCACTCGGTTAGCTGGAGTGTCTGGACATCCGGCCCTTGGAGAGTGGCGACCGGACAGAAGCTTCATCATAAACGTGCCTGTTGACACCTTGTTTACTTATGCACCTCTTGTGGCGCCTCGACGCTGCACAGCTAGTGACACTTCCGCTGGACTTGGACTTGATGAATCGCCCAGCAGCTGTTGGCTGTTTGCTGTTGTTTTTCAAGCACAGACAAACACTGTGTGACGTCAGGGCCAGAAACGTGTTTCCATTTGGTAACTAACTAAGAGATAAAATAAAATAACAAGTATGAAAAGAAAAAAAACTAAAAATGAAGCTATTTCTTGGTATGTCCCACTCGAATGCTAAACAAATGACTCAACAAGAAGAGCTCCGGCTGTCTCTTTGGAGCAGGTTTCGATTTATTTGGGGTTTTACAGTAATTTAATATCGAATGTTTCCCAATTAGGGCTAAACGAAGAATTCTTTGTGGCCAAAAACCATTTCAAATTGCCTTTTATATCTGCTGCTGGATGCTGAGCACGATTGAGTGGCCGAGTCAACTATTAAACTCCAGCAGGAAATCTAATGTGAGTTTCTAGTTTGAATTTTAATAATTGAAACTTGTCTTTGTAAGTGTATAAACTGCTCGCATTTACGCAAGCCAAACCGAATCGCTGCTAGATTGATATATGTACATATCTGTGTGTAAAGCAACATTTCCTCCAATTTTCTGGCATTTCAATTATCTTTTATGTTTTATTAACTATTGCCAGCAAAGTAACTATGAAACGCGTTTTCAGATTTTAGTTTTAAAATGTTTGTCTGCGGTTTGACAATAAACAAATAAAGAACGAATGAAGATTAAAAGTTGTGCCACGGCTGAATTGAAAATTATTGCATACTTTTAGGCTGTAGAAAGTCTCCACTGCGTCTAAAGCTTCTTTTTTTTCATTTTCACATTTATGAAGCGTAAGGGGTATATTGGTTTTGATAAATGCACCCCTAGCTGTCCGTCCGCCTGATATTGTTGTTCGTTACCTTTTGACGTTGGGTCTCCAGTATATATAGATCATACATGTGCTTTAATGATACTCTTACATAGTTGGCTTATATGTGGATAAAAGTCAGACTGTTGGCATCAATAGAATCTAAGAAGGGCTTAGAAATAATGCTGCCAAGATTAGAGTATGGATATATTGCATGTTTTTCGACTTGGTAACAAAAATATTTGCCAACAAATTTTATATTCCCTTGTTTCAAAAAGAAAAGAAAATAGGCCATAAACAAATATTGAGGAAAAGAGGATTTTAATGGCTATATAATAGAACGGCTTAACAAAATATGTATTTAGAATATTCCTCTTAATGGTACTTTAGGCAATAAATTTGATTTAGTTATAGGGATACACATCCAGCTGCTCATGCAAGTGCTGATATGTGCGTCTGTCGTGCGGTGAGCTTTGACCATTGGGGGTCGCCTCTGCACCCTGCGACGCTTGGATATCCTGGGAGTTATCCTTGAGGCTGACCGTTTTGGCCCGAGCCTTCTTCAGCACCTCAAAGTGGTTGGCATCGATCTGACCCGGCTCCAGCTGCAGCTGCTGGCACTGTCCGTTGGGCTCGCAGTTGGTCACGAGGCGCTTATAGCCGCGCGACTCACCTGCCACCGACTGCTTGTAGTCGTAGGCATCCAGCATGGCGCTCTGCGACTGCCCGCTGTAGTCGCCGGCGCGTTTGGGCGGCGCCTGCTGCTCAATCACGGCCAGCACTGGGCCATTGCCATGACCGGCGTCCTGCACTTGCTGGCCATTGGGCAGTGTGACAACGGCATAGGGCAGTGGATTGCTGTCGGACTGCTCCGGCTGCGGTGGTGCCGGCGGTGGCACATAAGTGACCACTGGCTGCACCTGTGCTCTGGTCGCTGTCACCGGCTGCGGCTGTCTGTAGTAGCTGGCAACAAACGGTTGCTGCGGCTGCGGCTGCGGCAGAGGCGGGAGGTAATTGAAGTTGAGTTCCTGGACAGTGGCAGGCCGCGGTGGTGCGAGAGCCAAGAACTGAGGCTGGCGGTTAACCAGCAATGGATTGTTATGAGCCGAGTTCAACTGCTGCTGCTGCTGCTGCTGTTGTTGGCGTTGCTGCTGTTGCTGGTACTGCAGTTGACGCTGCTGTTGCAGTTTCTGCTGTTGTTGCAACTGTCGCTGCTGCTGTTGCTGCAGCTGACGATTGGGCACCGTGTACGTTTGATGTGCCGTGTAGACCGCTGGCGACTTCTGCGATTGCAGCTCATAGGTGCGTCCAAGGGTCTGCACCACGTACTTGGTGGCTGGCTCTGGGTTCGGTGCGGGCGGGCGGAAGGGTATTTTCGGGCGCGGATAGCTGTAGGGGATCTGTGACTCGGCGCAGCTCAGCAGCGCCAGCTAATACAATTTTTCAAAATATTTACACATTAATATTAATGAGGCTTGGATGGCTCATAAGGCCACACGCCGCTTACCGTCACGACGACGAGCAGCATCAGGTTGGCCATCGAAGTGTCAGCTCGGAAATTGTGGAACTGCCCGTGTTTTGTGTTGTGCACGCGCCGCCGTCTGGCAAATGATTGAGACAGTTGCCGCGCAGATCACAGTGTTAGACTTCTTCACAAGAAGAGCCAAACGAGAGCTGCGTCAGCGGCAGCAAAACTCGTTTTGCCTATTATTGAGTTGTAATTGTGGCATCGCTTGCCTTTGGATTCGCTGTAACATTTAAATTTCATAATTTTTCTTTCTCCCTCTCTTTGTCGGTCTTCCCCTATATATATATGTATAGATATGCTTGTGGAGATGTTTATCTGCCTGTATATGTTATCGTCGCTCGCCACTTTAGCGTTCGTTTGCTTGTGGCACTATTTGGCTATCACTTGGGTCTCGCTTTTGTCATCGTTAAGGAGCCAACTTTTAAGTTGGCACATGCACAGAAATCATTCCGCGGGGGCCGTGAAAATCTTTCCCTCTCATTTGGATGCGCTATTTAGAGGGTACTAAGGTTAACTCATGATTTATGTGCTCTATCGATAGATGAGCCTCGGAATGCTATTAACAGTTTTGTATATATATTAGTTCAGCTGTTTGTTTGATAATTTAGTAGATAGATCTATATAGTTTGCATGCAACATATCACATTTAGATCACAGTAGCTTGGGACGGGTTTTAACAAATGATTAAATGAAGATATCTGAAACAAATTTGTGTTTACCAAAATATATTATCTTATATCAGCAATATTTAATTTCTCTCTCTCTCTCTCTCTCTCTCTCTCTCTCTCTCTCTCTCTCTCTCTCTCTCTATGCTTAGTCAATGGAATTGTTATTATTCTCTACTCTTCTCTCAGCATTATTGGAATCTCTTCTACTTATCCTACTCATATATATTTCGATTTCATATCTCTTGGAGAAAGAGTATTCATTGTTCGTTTACCTGCAGCTCCTTCATATTTTAATTCACGTTAGTTTTCATTGTCTTTCCGCACTTAAGCACTTTTAATTTACCAACTCAGCCGTACAGCACTATCGTATTGACTCTGTGTGTTTATGAAGATCATGTTGATCTCGTCAAAAGTAAAAGTGCGGTTCCACCGGGTTCAATAATGTGGTTTTCATAGCAATCTTTGTTAACGTTGTTGTTGTTATGGATTTATAAATAAATTTGCATCAATTTCATATGGGATTTGTTGTTTCTGTTTTGGCTTCATCCGTTGAAACTGTGTAAATTGGTAAACAATAAAGTTTAATTCGATTTCAAACCAGTAGGTAGACCTGATTGATATTTATGCCATATAACCAAGAGTCGAGTTAAGTTTAAATTTATCTGTTTAAAATGCTGAACTTGATTCAATTCTCTGTTTGGGGCCTATTTATGAGCCCCGTTTAAAGCCGCTACTGCCATAAAGCCTGTTTGAAGATGACAAATTAGTTTTGTTTTCTTTTCTCTCTGTTGATCAAACTCTAATTTCATATAAAAGACAAATATAAGAAATATATATGAAGGAAGTGATGCGAGCTGCAGATGTGTTAATTATTGGCATATATATTTTAACTCTTTTAGTGACGCATCATTTTGATTATTTTATTGTGAATCTACAAAAATGATCTTAGCCAACATAATGAGAGTTCATATTGTAAGAGCTTAAGTTTGATAAAATATCTTGGGTGCTAATTGACTATTAGAGGCTATTTGTCAGAGTTGACAGTCAGATTAAAATTAAACAATATATCTATGATTAAACTGCGACCGTCGCAGCATATTTATCGACAAACTTGTAAAACAATAGTTAATTCAACCTAGGAAATTTTGTTTGGAAATCTAATATACTAACAAAAATACCAAGGCTACAA